CGAAACGTTTCATTAAAGAAGAACCCGTCCAGAGGACCTATACAATTTTTTTCCTTTTGATCTTTTACCTGGATTACTGAGATGCATCAGGACAGTGTCGCCTGATGTTTATTCTGTAGGTCTGTGTCGGGTGGATATATTTGTAAATTGGCAGTGAGCTTTAAAAAAATTGCACACATGAAATCTTGCCCAGGGTGCCAAATTGTTTAGGGCTTCGTTGTAAACAGAGAACTTTCCACACGTGAGGCGGGGATGTGCCACTTTGTCAGAAAAAAACATGACAATTTTGCCCTTTGTAGACATGAAAAACGGTTTCAACCACCTGGTGCGACAGACTTTTTATGACAAAGATGCTTTTTTGTTTCTAACARAACAAGCATGATGAGTGTGAGGTTCACATGGTCAGAAAGAATGAAACTCCAGCTCACAATGAACTGGATGACTAAGGCCTGAAAATGTGAACGCAGAACCACAAGATGACGGAAAAGACACCAAATGTCGAATAAAAGCAGTCTTTGCACCATTTGGGTCACAACACAGCTTCAGTTTACTTGTAAAATAAATTCTCTTTTTTTTGTAAAAGAAATTCTGAAGGATGTTGGAGCTAAATTGTAGAGGCCGCCAAACAGCTGCGAAGCTGACTGCTCATCATGACACAAGCATCAAGAACAGAGAGGACTCTCACATGGAAGCGCCTCAAACCAAAGATTTTGCCACAAATGGCTAATTTTTGTCACTCAAACAACTAAATTGGCAATAATCAGTTTAAATATAAACTAAGTTTATTCAGATATGCACATTTTTTCATTTTGAGTTTATTAATAGTGGGTTACATTTTTTATAGTCTTCTTTTCTGCTGACTTTAATCTCCATGCCAAAAATCTTCATCAAACCAGTTTTTCCTCCTTTTCCAGCAGTGGCACCTTCCAGCAGGGTGTTGCTACAGGTAATGCAGAGGAAGGTGAAGCTTCCCTTCAGGCAATCTGTCAGTGCTTTCGTCAGTCACTGCAGGCTGGTTGGTTTACAAGACAGGCAACATAAGAAGACTTTTAGTTTGTCTAACAGAGGCAGAGCCGTCCAATGCAGAACATCAAGTGTGTGGTAGTGGGGGACAAGTAAGTCTGCTAACATTTAATTGTTTTTACAATCTCATCTTTTAACAAATTAAAACTTATTTGTTTAGAGTTGACCCAGTTAACAACAGGTGGTTGGTGGCAGACACTGTCTCTTTAAAACTGTATTACGTGTGTTTTTATTTTCAAAACTGGTTAATCAGCTCCAAACTATCCAACCATCTTGTGTCGTCAAATGGTTATTTAACTGCCAGAAATTTCATCAAATGGATCAAAACACAGCGAACTTTCCAACATAACACAAAGCCAAATAAATAATAAATGATATCAAGCTAAATATTGCACAAAAGCAGGTATTAGAGTGAAAAACGCTTCTTTATTTTCAAATGCTTTTATTCCTCTTCGCTTGATTTTTTAAATCTTAATTGTAACTGTATTGTGTAAAAATTGAAATCATTAGATAATACCTTGATAATCTGAAAAACAAAAGCAATAAGTGATTTTTGTGGGTGATTGAGGGGGTAAACAGCCTGGTGTTAGTCTTTAACGTGTAATATTGCACAATAAAATTAAACCTAAACCTGTTTCACTACAATGTAGGCTATTAAAACCTGGAAGAACAGTTTCTTTTCATCCTAAATTGTGGGTAAATAGATGACAATTTTTACTCCCATATTGTAAATCTATACTAACAGTTCTGTCAAACTATAAAATTCAAAAATAGCCTCTTCTATTTGTTTCATTTGCAAATTATGCAGCAATTTTTCCTCCTCTTRTCCATCATTAACATTAAGCAGTAAAAAGTGCTGAGTATGGTTCCACTAACCAGCTACTGGCTTATAGCTGAACTAATTTTTTTTGTTTAGTGAATAAGCTTTTTTGCTGACTTTAAAAGAAACATTAGTGACCCGATTAGCTTCCYCTAACTGAGGTTCTGCCCACTTTAAATCTGCTAACAACTATGTAACACAGGTATAAATAGGTATAGTAATACTCTGGACCTATTCGAAAAGGTTAATAGCTGTTGTTGCTATGGCATATATGAAGTTGTTTTTTTTTTTATTGAAAGCGATGCACAATACAAAAAATTTTACGTAACTGTGTTTTACATTTACTTAATGCAATAAGATAAAAGGAAATGAAAGAAAAGAAAAAAGCAGCAGTAACAACAGCATACAGTATTAGGTATRATTCATGCAATTTGATCATGCTGATGATGTTTTCATAGCCTTTCTATTAGTGTTCAGTTTTCCTTATGTAAGTTTCAAAATACTTATAAAACACAGAAGTAAGTTGATTATATAAATTTAGTTTTCAACTGCACTGTTATTTGCAAAAATAATAATAAAAATAATAATACAATAATTTTATGTATGTGTATATATTGTATGTAGTTTACACAGTAAATAGTATGTTGACTGAAAAATTGCCTAATTTCATTCGTCTTCATTTCACTTTTGTGTGTCCACCTGTGTTAGGCAGTAGGAGTGGGCGTATTGATCTAAGTATCYATACTACCAAGATGAGTATCAGATCAATGCGTGATGGGATCTGTTCTTTTGTTTTCTCTGTACTTGCACTACTGACTTTATTTTTCACAAGTAAAGTGAAAAARAGTCAGGTGGTTTTAAAAGTTTTGCACTAGTGATTTTTCGTTAAGTAAAAAGTAAAAAAAAATTAATTATTTGGCTATTTTTTTACTGTTATTTTTTTTATTTTGTTGTAGCTTATGGCAAAACATTTTTATTTACTTAAAATCTTTGTCCTGTTTTTTTTATCATAATTGACTAAAGGCAAATATTCAATGAACATGACAAGTATCGGTATCGGAATCTGCAATTCTATGCTTGGTATTGGATTGATACCAAAATCTAACCAAAAGAATCTTTTTAAAGGTTAGTGATCAGCTGTTCGTATTAGAGTCTGATAATGTTTTTACTTTTTTAACTGTTTAGAGCTCATGCTAATGCCTTTCATATGTTTGGCTGTTTAGCGTTAACAAAGCTAAACTTTTAGTTAATGGACTGAGTTAGCAAAGCTACCTTTTCGATCAGCTGCTCACAATTCTGATTAACATGTTAAATGTAAAACTGCACTAGTTACATTAACTTGATTAATGCTTGTTGTTTATGATAAACCATAAGGACAACATCTTTAGTTGTAATGATCTTATCGTCACCATGGAGAACTCAAAACAAAAATGTCGCCTAGCTCACAAGCTAAAGCAACTTTTATTTTTCAGGTGCTAAAATGTTACTTGTCAATACAAGTCAGAAACACTCACTGTGAATCCAATCCACTCCAATATAATTTATTTATAAAGTCCTTAAAAAATCCTCCACAGGAACACAGTGCTGTACAATAAAATACAGTAACAGCTGATACTCAATAATAAAAGATAATAAAAATAGAATAAAACAAACAAATAAAAAATCAAACTCAACAATAAAATATGAAAAGCATAAAAACACAAAAGAAATGATAGAAAACATAAAAATCATGATGTGATGTAAAAACAAATAAAATAAAATTTAAATAGAATCTAAAATGGATTATTAACCAATGCAGAGATTTTAAAACTGGTGTAATGTGATCAACTCTCCTTGTACCAGTTAAAAGACATGCAGCAGAATTTTGCACTATCTGTAAATTATCTGTGAACATCGATTCAGGCTCTTCATTGAGTTTTTGAACTGTTTTTTCCAGGATGGAATGATTTTAAAAGGTAATAGTAGTTTCTCTTTGGTGGCCATAGAAAGGATTTGTTTGGCAGCGCTCACTGAACTGACCAATACTCGTCTGTCACCCTCAGATGAAAGGAAGCTGTTTAGGCTGTTCAGGAACAACCCTGGGACCACCAAGACCTGAGTGTGCCATGGAACCTGCTGCGACACCGGTGCCTCTGTCCACTGAGGACACCGTTTTATATCTCCATCAAGAAGAAAACCCCAATCCAAWAACTGATAAGCTCAAATGAAACTTGAAGAACAAGACAAAAGCCCACTGGAAGACAGTTTTATGACCAGATGACACAAATACTGAATGATTTGGCCATAATGACAAGAAGTATGTTCAAAGGTGAGGCTTTCTGYTTAGCATGGTCAAAGTAGCATCATGATCTAAAAGAAAGAGGAATACATAAATTATTTAACTTCACCTCAGATCAGCAGCTATGTGGTTGAAGCCTGGACAGTTGGGTGAATGATCCCAGACACACATCAGAACTGATAAATGATTGGATGAAACAGACTAACATTATTGATCTTCCCAAAGRCTGAAACCTGAACCCTACAGATTTGTGGATTGTGATCATAAGCCAGATTTAAAGAATCCAACTAATTTTAATGAATTCTGCACAGAGGAGTGAACAAATATCCAGATTGTCAGATTTATGCCACAAGCGAACAACATGCAACCTGCCAAGGTACATTTAATTAAATATTAGTGAGGGTGAGGGTGTATTCATAATATTGACTCTATATGAATTGGAAAATTACACAATTATTTCAAGATGCTTGATTRAGGCTCTGGCCTAAATCAACATAAACAACATTTTAGAGCACCCAGCACAATTTAATAAAAGAAGAAAGTTATTACTCAGTTTTATTTAATACAGCATGATAGTATYATCAATCTACCCTGGAAAAAACAGTTCAAGTTATTTTTATAGCACAAAATTGATATGAAATCAATGCATGAAATGAATTTTCTGACCAAAACTGCATGTYAAATGCTCACTAGTTGAGAATTTTCTGGTCTTACTGGTTAAGTTAACTAGGGGTGTCCCGATACCAGTTTTTCCCAAAACAAGTAAGAGTACTTCAGTTTGGATATTTGCTGATACAGAGTATTTACTGAGATAGAACTTAAAAATTAGACAATGACTTTTAAAAACATTTATTTCATATCATCCAATCCAATCCAATATAATATAAT